GTGGTTTTCGGGCAGTTCTTCTCATGGTGCCGCTTGTGCTGTCAGTGAGCGCTTTTAAATGGTTTGCATCGCGTCCCGAGATTTGTATGAAGTACATCGTTGGCTTTCTTTGCATACAAATAGCGCTGATTTCTATGGCATCTAGGTGTTAAAAAGTGTGCTAATAAGGAGAATGTGAATGGTGTTCATAATTCTCCAGGTCGCTGAGGTGTGTGGAAAGGTTCTCTTCGAGTTTGAAGCGTTTTCTTTCAGCCCGAGCTGGATACCGGCCTGTAGCAGTGTCATAGCTACGGCTGCGACTCCCAGCTGTGCCCTCTGTGCAACAGATAGGGACAGCTGTGGCACTGCCTGGGGAATGCAGGGACAGGGACAGCTGTGGCACTGCCTGGGGAATGCAGGGACAGGGACAGCTGTGGCACTGCTTGGGGAATGCACAGGGAGCTCACGGTTCTGGGAAATAGAAGAATTACAGTTCAAATCAGTTTCGTATCCTGTTTCACCCTGTTCGCCATGTGACTGTGCAGCAAACTCTTGGTCTTCAGGCAAAGTGTCTTTTTCTTTGTCTTGCCTTAAAGGGGTGCCAGCATAAATGCATGGTGGACTGGCCTAAAATTCAACCAATCCAGCTATTATAATATGTAAAATACATAACTGTTGGCCACAGAGAAATGCAGATAAAATCCTCGCATACTGTGCTAATTATCTGAGTTCTCTTCCTTTGATGTTACAAGCTGGGATTAACAACAAAGACAGGTGTTTCTGTATAACCTGTGACTTGGGCAGCTGTTGAGCTCAGTGGCTAAGGGGAGCACAGCCTCTGTCTTGGCTGCAGACTCCTCAGCTGACAGTCACATTAACTTGACACAAGCATAAAATGAGTGCATAAAATGAGACTTAGAATGTCTACAGAACTTAGGCCTGGTTTTGTTTTTTTTTTCAAGTGGTTAGCTGCAGGAAGAATAATTAGCTCCATTTTATATAGGAGTTCTGGGAAGAAACACCTGCTAGTGAGGAGAATTGAGTATGAGTTCAAGTCTGTGAACTTCAAGTCATGCCTTAATTAAGTCAAGACTTAATGTGGATAATTTCAGCGTCATTCAGCTACTGAAGGAGTTACATTTAGTGTACAGCTGCTTAGCATAAGATAGCAAAGGAAAGTATTAAGAGTTGGAAAAGAGATGGTGATGGGTTTACTTCATGCAGAATGCTGGTATTCCACTTGTATCTGCTTTCAGCTTCGGTTGTGCTAATAATGTCTTACACATCTGGACAACATTTGATAGAATACTGAGGGGAAAAAAAATGCACTGGAGATTTTAGCTCTTCGACTAGGTAGGTCCCATCTTTGGAAGCCTTGAAACCTTCTTTGAAACATAATCCTGGAATTTGTTTTCCTCTGCTTATAAGCTAGCCACTCATTTCAGGAGTCTTGGAGTGGGTTGTTTTGAGGACTTTTTTTAGGTGAAATTCAGGTGTCTGAGGTTTGTCTTCTTTCCTGTATATTCTATTCCCCCTTGCTTGCATAATCACTGATTTCATACATCTTTTCTTTTTTGAAATAATTATGCTTCCGCATCTTATGTTGTATTGCATTGTTTTTGATTTCTGTGCTGTGAAAACTTACTACATCATCTATTTTTTTTCTGTAAGTACAAAAACCTGCGACTTTGAGTTTATTCCTTGAACTTTCACAATTGTCATTAAGGACTAGTGTTCATCCTCAAAGAGCTGGTAATAATATAGATAGTGTTTTGTGGTTGAATTTTGGTTACTACAGCCTAACTTTTGATTGCAACAGCTTTCAGGCAATAATATGTGTTTCCTTTAAATGTAATCATATATTGCATTTTGCATGTACAAGTTAAATCTAAAAGATGTAATCTTGTCCTTCTTTGAGACCTTTTGCACCAAAAATCTCAAGTATCTCAAGCACTAAAATCTCTGAACATATACTCTGAATATACCTTTTTAAATGAACGTGTGTGGTCTCTAACTGGCATTCAAAATACCTTGTAAAGATGGGTGATCAAGAAAGCTTAAAAGCATATGAAGATAAGAACTAAGACATAATATTAATAGCTTGCAATTGAAAATGTCTTAAAGCTAGGAAGGTGTTTGAGGGTTGTATTGTTAAAATATTTGATGGAAATTAATTGCTTATACCTAGCTTATTTTCAAATAACATAATACTGTTTGTTTTCTCTAGGTGATATATCCTCCACATTCCAAACTCACAGATAAAGAGGTAAGTAATATCTACTGTATATCATTTGGTTTTAGCTTAGGAAATATATATCTCAGGAAATATAACAGCTCTCTTTTCTTTTCCCTACCCTTTAGAAAACCAATATTTGCTATTTGTCTTTTCCAGATTCTAATTCGGGTAAGTGCTTTCTTCACTCTGTAGTCGTCTGTTGTTGGACTAAACTGTATTAAAAAAGAATTTGACAGGATGTATTCTGAGCTTTAGGTCAAATACATATTTATATATCTTAATTAATATTGCAATACAGAAATGTTGCAGCTAAGGTTAAATATAAAACTGCAACTATCTGCATTGCAGCAAGGTCTGAGGATTCTTCTCTGATTTATGTAAGTGTGTAAGACCTTCCAGATGACATTTGTGCAGACGTTTGAGAGTACTTGGCAAGTAAACAATGAGCATCTGAATCTCGCTCTTTAAACAATAGTGCTGTCACTGTAGAGAGGAGAGTAGGCACAGAATATGAAGCATTTAATACAGCAAATGTAAGTATACAGAGCCCTCTTCTCATAAAGGACTAAATGTATATTTTCTAAGTTCATAACAGAGAAACTGACTTTTAAATTGAAAAGCATTTAGAAAGAAGAGTTGTGAAGGAAAAGCCTCAGCTATCTTCCCCATTCTTCTTGTGCCTGTAGCTGTGTGTGGTCCTGCTTGTTAAATCATTCTTGAATGTAAACTTCTGCTCATCTGCTGCCAAAGAGAAATTGGGACATGTGGCTGATGGGTTGGACCACCTGCAAAAAGAAATGGCAGAAGTTCAGACTCTTCCTTTCACATTTATTTCTATACAAAAGTCAAAACATGTAATACCAGCATTGTGCCTGTATCTGCATTGACTTTTGGATGCTCTGCAGTATGACAGATCAGATGGGGGGGTGATGCAGATGTGTGCTTTTAATGTGTGTGAGCTTTCTCTTATGTTATTTTATGAAGTATTTTGGCTAGTTTTTCCCTTTTGTCTAAATGTCACTAAAATTAAGATATTTTCTCTGTTCTTGCTATTTTGTATGCAAATAGAGGCTCCGCTTCTTTCTGTTACTGAAGTATGAGTTAACTGTATCTTTTAATTACTCTTACTCTTAATGGTTATAAATATCTTCAGACTTTAAAAGATACCTTGAAAGAACAAAATCATGTGTTGAAAACAAAGGTAGCTTTCTTTAAAATTTTTGGTGTATTTTTTCAAATAAGAGTGTAATAAAATTGCAGAATAGGTATATGTAAGGAGGTTCACTTTCAGCAGGGAAAAATTCCACTTTTGCTTTTTATAATGTCCCTATTAAGAACTGTTGGTTCTTGATGATTCTTGGTAGGCTTAAGTTTCAAATGATGTAGAGGGAATAACCTGTGTAAAACCTACCCTCCACAAGGCTGTAACTGTATCTTATGTGTTAGGATTTATTTTTTCATCATAGGCCTTAACAGAGAAAGAAAAGCTTTATGTAATATAGCAGTGAAGGAAGTTACTAGCTTGCAGCTAAATTTGAGGTTAGTCCATCCCAGGTTTTCATGGCTCAAAAGGTTAATTCAGCTTTCTTCTCTTATTATTACAAAGATACACTATTCCAGTACTTGTGGCTGTGAATTTAGAGGAGAAAATTGATTTAATCAGCTAGTAGATCACAATGCTTGTTGTGGTTTTAAAGCTGAGTTTTTCAGTACAGTTCTCTTTAAAAGAATGCTTTTTCCTGCTCTGCATGGATAATTGAAGAAGAATACACATTTACTGATCTCTTCTGGAAGAGCTTGTTAAATAAGAAGACATATTCTGAATGATATTTAAGCATATTAATGATTAAGGGTAATTTAGGTCTTCTATGTGTAGGTTTTCATAATAGTTTATGAGGTTTTTTTTCCTTTGGATGAAGGGAATGAGCTTTGAAAAGTTGAAGCAAATATTTAGTGCTGTGTTACTGACATGTGCTGTGTTTTTTCTTATCATTGCATCTGTATTGCTGAGCCCTTGTTACCTGTTTGAACTCAGTGGTCCCATCACACCATGTTTCGCTACTTTTGGTTTTGTCAGGGTGCATTTAGGGTTTCTGACTGCAGCTTTGAGGGATTCTGAGACTCAGAGGTGGGTGCTCTGGGCATGTCAGTGTTACTCTGCACAGCCAGTGCATCTGACTGAGGGGCTGGGCTGTCTGTGCTTGCTGTAGCAGAATGTGTGTGACTGAAAGAAAAGATGAAATGGAATTTTCAAGTCTGATGAAACAGTTCCCTGGAGAATTAGTTACATTTTTCTTTAAGAAATTCATTTTGATAGATATGAAGGAAAACTTCTCTCCTTGGGGATATTACTGGGAATAATCTACTCAATTTCACTCTGTTTCCAGCAATTAGCTTTTCAGCTTTCAAAATGATGAATCCTATACTTGCCTGTGGATTTACAGATCAGCATAATGCACTTCTACAGTGTGATTTGTATGAACTGTATGGTGTCAAAAAAAGGGCAATGTGCAGCCATGTAGCAGAGGAATGTGTCTAAAATGATCAAAACTTTACAGGCATGCCAATGAAATGGGTAATACCAATAGGAGAACAGCCATTTGACCTGTTTGATGACATTTGAGGCAGTGACTTGTTTCCTTGTTGCAGACAGTACTGTTGCCAAAGATGCCAAAACTTTCACTTATAAAATTATAAATACATAAATGTTCACAAGAGCAGTGCAAGATAAATGAACCAAAACTCTGATGCTTCTTTGGCTGTAAGCAAGTGCTCATGTTAAACAAGGCTCAGACTCAGAATACTGTCTGTTTGCTGTTTATCTCTTCTTCCATATAGGTTGTCTTGGAGACACACAATTTTGTTTTAGATTTCGACGGTCTCCTGGAAGGAAAGTCTCATTGTGTTGTTTTCCAGACCAATTGGATAGAGATCTACCAGTTTACTTAAAGGTTGGAAATGAGAAAAAATAAAGTTAAATTTCTTTTGGGTAATATTAATTTGTGGGTCTTCACCTTTAAATGTTTGAAAAAGTAATGTTCGAAAAGAAAAATCTCTGAACTGGATGTCCTGAAAGTCAAAACTCATGTCTGTTGTAACATGTTACTATAATTATAATAATAATTAGCTTAATTAACTATTAATTGTTTTATTAGTATGGATTTCGGATTACAAGGAATTAAATTGAAGTCCAGATCTCTTTCATTATTGACTAGAAACTTGTAAGTCAAATTGTAAGAACCATTACTGTTATGGAAATATGAAGTGCTTTACAACTTAATTTTAAAAATTCCAAGCAACTTGGGCTGCCTCAGTTTCCACCCTTCACTTTTTGAAGATGGAGCAGTTACGTAAAAAAGGTAGTGACCGAAAGTTGTTCTCATCATGTCCATAGAGAACACTGAGGCCTCTGCGAGCCTGTTTCTCAAACTCAGTCTTGTTCTGTTTATGTGGCAAGTACTTGAATTCCAGTTTGTAGGAAGGATATAGTTGATGTCTTGTCTTTGAAAAGTGAGAGCCTACTTCCTTCATATTCCAAGAATCTTTCGTAAAACTAATACATTGAAAGACTAGGTTTTATCTCTTCAAGTCAGGGCTTTAACGTTTTTAACTACTAAAATCTTTTTAATGCTACTTTGCAGAATTATAAAGGTTGATTTATTCCTTAAGAAATTATTTCTGGTTTCGGTTTCACAATGTGTCAGGGGAATGTAGATATAAAAATAGCAAAGCCGGAAGCACAACTGTTTCCCCATGTTTTCTCTATGAAATACTTACAAAAAAAGATAATGCTAATAAATACAGTAATCCTTTTAGTTTATTGTATCTAATCAACTTTGAAGCTCACAGGGGAATAGGCTTTTTAAACTGTATGTTGAATGCTTCAAAAAGCAGGGCAGTAACAGGTGGTTGTGTTGAATTATTTCCTTTCTTTTGCAGAAAGATTCAGCATATTACTATGGCTATGTTTATTTCAGACAAGTTCGAGACAAATCATTAAAAAGAGGCTATTTCCAGAAGGTAATTTTAGTTCTTTTAGGAAAATACTAATTTGGAAGTTAAATTGACTTAATTAAATTAAATTAATCAGTGACTGCAGAGGAACAGGAAAACTCTCTTGCTCTCTAACTAAATTAGTTATTAATTTATAGTAATTGGTCTAATTTTACATTAGTTATGCTATGTTCCAGCTCTGCTGTCAGGAGAGATAGTTTTTGTTTTAAAAACAAAAAGTTAGGAAGTTTTGGGAGGGTTTTTTTTGCAGTTTGCCTGTAGTCAGATGTGTGGGAAAAGTCCCACTTGGTTGTCTGAGGGAAAGTGTTGACTTGAAATTCTGATTTATTACTCTTTATTCCAGTCGCTGGTCCTCATCAGCAAGCTGCCTTATGTCCATCTCTTTCGTACCATGCTTAAGCAAATAGCACCAGAATATTTTGAAAAAAGTGAAGCTTTCCTGGAAGCAGGTAGTGGTCCTATTATGTTCTTCCAGAAAAATAAATAACACTGTCATGTTCTAGTCTGTGGTTTTGTCTCCTTGCAGGGTAGAGGGTTGAAATTTTACCAAACTGGCTTGACTTCTAGATCATTGAACAGAGCTAATTAAGTTCTGGATCTTCCCTGGGAGAGTTGGAGGTCCCTCCTGAAACCCATCCAGGGTTGTGTGTGTTTCAGGACCAGCTGTTGAGCACAAGGAGCTGATGGCAATCCTTAGTTTGCACTCTCCACAGCCCAAGTCCTTTTTCTGACAATTTTTGCTAAGCAACTGTACAAATGTTATCTTGCTTGAGGTTTGGTTTTTTTGTGTGTGTGATTTGTTTGTTTTTTGACCAAATGGAAAAAGCAACAGAGCAGCACTGGTAACAGTAACTGCCTCAGCCTTACTGCAGGGCTGAAAGAGCTGGAGAAGGACAAATATAAAAGTTATTTACTCTTTGGCTGGAAGAGCTCTGTTTTGTGTACTGTGCCTGCCCCATACACCTTTCATGTTTTTTGTGTTTTCACTGAGCAACTATTTGTTTAAACCATGAAAGAACTGCATTTTTCAATCACCTGTTTTCTTGAGAGGTTTGCTTATGAGCAAAATAAGCTCTACAGAAACTATGAGTATTATGTATTATATTCATAATTGTTTACAAGAAAATGCTGGGAAACTTTCTAGCCAAGCTACAGACCAACTCTTTCCTTAACTGCTGGTGTTTACTGGTTTTGCAGAAGCCAATATACATAAATGGAAGTGTTCTTTCCAAAATTTTTTAATATGTACTTTGATGGTTTCTCAGTTAACATTTCTTCAACCAATTGTAAGTCTCATTGCTACAAAAAGTGGAAGACCAGAGAACATTGTTTTCTTGAAATGAAAGTCTTCGTAGTTCTAATGGAATAATATATGATATCTAAAAGGCTGTAAAACTTGTTCAGTGTGATTGAGAGACAAGCAGAACTGCTGTGGACTATTAGCACTAATTTAAAGTTGCAGTGTGCACTCTGTGATCATTGTTTATAGCTTGCAGAAACTTGTATCTTTCTTTCAGTTTGTAGTGACATTGATCGTTGGCCACCACCAGTTCCAGGGAAAGTTCTGCAGTTGCCTATTATGGGTGTCATAATGAAGGTAAAAACTTCTGCACTTGTTCTTCTCTGAGAGGATTTTCCCCATCTTTCACTTTACAGTTCCTCACTGCCTTGTGCCTTGTTTTTATTGTCCTGTTGTTCCAAACAGGAGTAGATGTTTACAGCACTCAGAGTGAAGGTCTGGGAGATCTTGATTAGGTGCTTTGATTGGAGGGAGGAGGGGAGGATCTTTTATAGTGCTTAGGTTAATATTTAATTTTAGTAGCTACTAAAAAGTGATGTTTCAGTACAACTACTAATTGCAGTGTCTGTACTATCCCTCTGGAATTTGAATTCTAGGAGGCTTTAGTGCTAATTATATTTGTCAAATCAAACATAAAGTAGCAATTGAAAATACTGAGAGTTAAATTCCAGTCAAACAAATTAAATATATTGATGAAAATAATTTTAATTCCTGAAAGTTGATGAGTAAAAATCTTTTTTGTCCCACAGACCAGAAATAATTGCTTGTGCTGTTTATATTTTTCAATGGCAGTGAAATATGTCTGAAGAAAGCTATTAAGAAAGTTGTATCTAGTCCATAGGGAAGAACTGTAGAGTTTAAACAGTGATTAAAAACTGGGCCTCTGGGAGTCATATTAATTTTATAATCCATTTGAAATGCAATTAAATGGATTTGATGAAATCTGAGGTTACAGCCAGAAGTACCTTCTCAGCAGATACTCTCAAGTTTATGGAAAGACATGTATGCATCACCAGGGAGAGAAAGACGTTTCTGAAGCTGTTCTAAAAGCGGAAATTTAATAAAACAGTGCTGGGTGATGAGGAGCATCAGATATGTCTAGGCCTGCATTTATCTCATCAATAATTCTTACTCATGAGAATTGAAATTGTGTTCCTAAACTGAGTAAAGCCATAATTACTGCCCAGTGATATTGTCCCTGGTTTTTTACACTGCTTGGGTCTTAAGTGTTGTGTGTAAATGACATCCATTTGTGCATACCGGCTTCCAGTATGATTAAATTTGTAGTACTCAATGCAAACTGCGAGGACAGAGAAGTGTACTTAAGTTCAAACTATTTGGATTCTGTCTCTCTCGCCAGAACATCTTGATGTTTTAGGAGAGCATGTTTTCTAAAAGTAATTCTGTACCATCTTAAAACCCCAAGATCTTTTTTCAAATCATTCTTTCTGACATTTAGAGGTACTTTTATTGAAATTACAGTAACAGTTTTGACTTTACTAATGATCTCTTTTTAAACTGGAGTATTATTTTCATATTCTGTTACTCAATTTGCGGTTGGAAATTCTGTAGATGGAAGTTCAGTAAAGTAAATAAGCATCATGCCACAGTATATCCTCTCAAAGTATTACAGATTGTCTCTAAGTCAGCATTTTAAGTGTCTGCTGGATTCAATACAAGGGAAAATAAACCTTTCTTTTTCTTTCCAAGTTGCGGATTCCAACATATCGTGACAAGCCTGGAACAACACCGATAGTACAGAATATGCACCAGGTAGTGATTAGATACTGATACTGTATATAGACCCACATAGATAGAGATCTGCTTTCATTCTTTAAACTTGTTAGAAAAGATTGGTAACAAAACATAATTTACTATGATAATAATGAAATCCACAATCTTTGAAACTTTGAATGGAGTAGTCCAGATTTGGATTCTTCATAGATGCGGTATTCTAAATCAGTTACCCTGAGCAGGCAGAGATATCCAGGTTCTGAAAGAAGATAAGGCTGACAAAATTACTAACCTGAACATCCTTTTCATGTTTGGATAGTTTGGGTTTTTTTGGGGATGAATCCAGAATTAAAAGTCTTTAGCCATAGAAGATGTTTATAAAACAAATCTGTTTTCATATGCAGTTGTTTGAAACAGCTTCAGTATTTTGTGTATTTTCTGGACTGAAAGCCATGTGCCTGTAAGTGAGGGGTGTGTGTATGTGTCTTGAGAGGTGTCTTGCTCATAGAACATAAAGGTAGTTGTGGAGATAATGTACTATATACTGCTGCAGTATATAAATAGACTATATACTGTCTATTGTCTGTAAGCATTTAAGGGAAACCATTTCATTTAATACCTAGGTGGTCTGATGACTAAAAACCAAGCATTGCGATGTCTTTTAGGCAGATGCTCAGATCTCCATGGCTTTACCGACTGTTCATGAAGTAGATCTTTTCAGGTACAAGCTTGGACTGATTAATTCCTAGTTGTGAACTCACACATGTTTTGTTTTTTTTTATTTATGACAGATCCTTAACATGTCTCATGACTTATAAGCTAACTTTTATCAGTGCTGGTTTTAATATTCTTTATCTGTAAAGTTTGCTGGAACACAGTTTGGACAATATACAGGCTGAAATACAATAGATAATCAAGTTCATTAAATGTTTCATTTACAAGAGTACTTTATATTTTTCAAATTACTATTCAAATACTACCACAAACTTCTTTTTTATGCCTTTATTAGCCAGTAGATATATGTATTTTATGATGTCAAATGTATTGAAATACCTTAATCTGTTTTTAGGTGTTTCTGTCCAGTGTTCTTTCACATTCAGATGCTTTGGGAGCTGGTGCTGCTGGGAGAACCACTTGTTGTGATGGCACCATCACCAGCAGAGTCTTCAGAAACTGTGTTGGCCCTTGTTAGGTAAATGTAGTAGAGCTTTCTGTCTATGACTAAGGGAGTTGGTGTAAGATTGCAGCTGACTGGACTTTATTTGATCTGAGAGTGACAAAGCATTACAAGTTTTAGATTTGCTTGTGTTTTTCATGAAAGTTTGCACTGAATACATAAACCAAGCTCATCCTTCTTGTACCTTGCAGTTGTATTTCACCACTGAAGTACTGCAGTGATTTCAGGCCATACTTCACCATCCACGACAGTGAATTCAAAGAATACACAACTCGCACACAAGCCCCGTAAGTAAATCAAACTGTCTGGAGAAGATGTTGCTCAAAGCCACTTGTAACCATAAATTTGTATTAAATATGTTTAACTACTCTGGATTTCTATCATTAGAGAATTAGATTTAGACTCTTTCTTGGTAATATTTATCTTGCAGCGGGCAGTAATTAGTTGATTTAAATATTCATTCTAGTTAGCTAGAACAACAAAGTTACAAAACAATTCCATGATTAAATTAGGCTTGAGTTTGATAGGATATTTCTCTACAGAATAAGTCAAATTGCAGCTGTAATTGTTTTCATTTTTAATTAACTGCTAAACAAAGTGACTTGTAGAATTCAACATCAGTAAAACTAAGTCAGTTGGTGTCCTAGCTGAGACAATTTAAAAATGAAATATCTCTCCACTAAATTTATTATTAGGTTATTAATGTAAATAAGTCAGAAATTTAGCTTATTTTTTAAGAGCATGAATGTCCAAAACCAGTGATGTTTGAAACTGCTTTAAGGACACATTTTTTTCCCCCCTTTATTTTTTTTAAAATCCTGCTCTTATTTTGAGAGTATATACCTCCACTATTTCTTAATATATGTTATTTAAATGCAGCTTGATTTGGGAATGGAGTGCATATGTTAGATTCACTGATCTTTTAATAGATAAATTTCTTCTAATGTCAGAACAGGTAGAGGTTGTTGATTTGGATTTTTTGTTTGCTTTGTTGGTTTTTTTACTGTTTTTTGTACTCATAAAAAATCAGAAAACTTTTGTACAAGAGACTTGTACAGAATTTTCCTCTCAACAGAGGTATTGCCAGAGATAGAGCAGTGGAGAAACACAGAAACATAAGGAATATTTGTTAGATTGTGTTCCATGGGAATAGTTATTCAGTATGTAATTTAGTTTCTAAAAATAATTCTAGGAAGAATTTGGTTAAACTTTAGTAACCCATGTTTCAAGATTCCATCCACTCCTCTGTAGCAAACTAGAACGGTTGGTCACTACATGGATTAGTATTTGAAATAGAGTTGAAATTGCTCTGACTTTCTTACAGAAAGCAAAATAATAGAAATAGGTTTTTAGAACCATGGCTCTAAGAAGATGAAGAATCCAAATTATGCCTATTCTATGTATTTTATTATCTTAGTAAGAGGGGAGCAGGGAGACTTCTGGGTAGTTTACCAGAAGTGTTAAATTTTGTCTAACAAAATGATGATAACCTATTTCTAAGATGGCAGTTTCAGTGAGACTTTTTGCTATATTCCTTTGCTGATGTTTGACTGTAAAAGGGATGGCAACCACTGTATTGAAATATACATTCATATCTCATCATATCAGCACTATAAATCCCAAATTTTGCAGGCCCACGCTGTAGCAGCAGCACTGTGCTCTTGCTGCCTCTTGTTCCCTGTGTGCCCCTGTCCACCCCCCAAGCCAGATGCTGAGCACAGAGCAGACAGGAAAATCTGGCAGTGTGAGCTGGGGCACAGTGCTCTTAATGTGCGTGTGCTGCATCTCTTGATAACTGCTGCTTAAAGCAAGTGGGATATTAAGTGTCTCATTTTCTTAATGATATGCACATTCAAGTACTGAGAGTTTGTTATAATCAAACCTAGAAACATAGCACTTTGTCTTTCAAATAAGGGTCAGATTCCTGCTCATAAAACAAAAGCAAACAAAAAACCAACACATCACAAAACCCCCAATAACAGATAATGTGCTGTTCTCACCATTGCAAGTGGGCAGAATTTTGCCAAGTCTAAGCAGATGATGTAATCTTTATTCTTCGCTGTTGTTTGTACTTTAAGATGCCTCTGTCTTATTTTCTAAAATGTTAAATCTTTGATAAACATTTCTGCTCTTATGTGCAATTTGAAATGTAGCTCTTAAATACCAAAGGAAAGTAATTTCAAGTACTTAAATTGGCCTTTTGTATCTGTTAAGGCAGAAGGTCTTGCTGTCATATTTTAAACATTGTCATTACTTTTCTAGACCATCTGTCATTCTTGGGGTGACAAATCCCTTTTTTGCTAAAACACTTCAGCACTGGCCTCACATTATCCGAATTGGAGATATCAAACTTCCAGGTAAAACAAAAGTATTTCCTACAATTCTGCACAAAGAGATCTAACTGTGTGCCTGTTTATTTACAAACATATATAATTATGTTCTATTTATTTAGTTTAATGCTAATTAAATTTTCATGGATGTAAATCTGTCAAGTGAAGTTAGAATCGTGACTGCTCTATGTCTTGTCTTTTCAAAACTAGTATCTTAAATGCAAAAGGTAGTAATTCTCATTAGTAATAATGGTCTACATTTCACAGAGTCCTGATTTTGTATCTCTACCAATAAGGTATTAAAATGAGACATATTATATTACTGATGTTAATTTTAGTGTGAGTAGAGTGTAATAAATCAGTCACAGCCAGGACAGAACATAAGACCTCTGTGAAATCTACATTTGAATGTTACAGTAATATAAGAAGTTGACAATATTTTGATAATATATTAGCAATCTGGCAATATTCCATTAATTGTATATTGTTCAGTCTGCATGATTTCTTTACACGATTGAGTAGAATTTTCATGTAATGTTTGGATAACATGTCAGTTGCCACCACTCTATTGTAAGAAATTCCTGAATGTAGCTGTTTGCTGCTACAGGTTCACTATGCTGTTCTACAGTGGGAATACATAAATATGCAATTAAGATAAAACATCATAAAATTAATTTTTGTAGAAGAATTTAATTTTAACTGCTGAGTACACTGAATTAATTAAGGATTGTGTACTGTGTTCAATATGATTAGGCAAGGTTTTGCTTTACTTTAAAATACCATGTCTGTCTATGGTCAGAATACCTGTGGAGGCGTAGGGTAGTGTGGGGAAGAGTTACTTTGCTGCTGTGTAGTTAATGTTTGGAAAGTAGAATCTTAATTAAACTATGAAAAGGATTCAGAAGGTTATCTATTGGCTGATTTTGTTTGTAGGGGTTTTTTTGTTTACTTTTTACTTGTTTGGGTTTTTCTTGGTTTTCAGGTATTTGTTTTTTTTCTTTTCAACAAGTATGTATATATATATATATAATGCTTATATGAAGTGAAAAGTGAGTTTGCTGTTACTCGTGTTTTTGCTGGGTGTATCTAGATTTATAATTGGATTCTTGGCAGTGTTTGTAATGTTTCTTAAAATATTAGATAGCCTTCAAGTAAGGTGGCTTTATGTGTTTTGGCAGGTGAAGTTCCAAAGCAGGTGAAAGTGAAAAAACTGAAGAACCTAAAAACTTTGGACTCCAAACCTGGTAATAACTTCAGAGTTTAATTTGCCAGTGTTTTAATTTTAAAAGGCATATCTCGCTTCTCCTTTGGCTATATGCTGCTTTTTTTCTTTAGGTGTTTATTCCTCTTACAAGCCATACTTGAACAAAGATGAAGAAATTGTTAAGCAGTTGCAAAAGGTAATGGTGTAGGTCACTTCTTAATGGCAACTGATTTGTATATCTTGTGTAGTGTCATACAGTGGTTTTGTATAAGGCTGCACTTTGTGTAATCAAAATGAACCTGGATTCGAGTTCCTTTGCCCCAGTTCGTAACAAAATAGATGTTGTTACACCCTCATTGTAGAAGGGCTGCTGCCTTGTTAGCAGCTTCTATAATCATTTGAATGGTGGGCCTTATTAAGTTAGTTTAATAATATAGATAATTAAATGTATTTTATCTGTTCATCTGTTGAGGTTTTCTATCCTCTGCTACCCCCACTCTGGTCTCTGGTCTAAAAGTCTCACACATGAGGTGTGTAAGAATCAGAGCTTCCAGATTTTAACTGATTTGCAAACACTTCTTTATAGAAATATTTCTTTCCTTGCGTTTCTTTACATCAAAATAAAAAAACCACAGTAATTGCAAAGACAAATATCTGTACAAAAGAACTTGATGCTATTGCTTTCCTTCCCTGGTTCAGGGTAGGAAGTGCTGTGTGTGGGAATATGGAGATTCATAATAAATATTCATAAAAAGTAAACCCACCACAACTACCTACATACTTTGGAGTAACAGACTGACTGTGTTTTGTTTTTCTGGGTTTTTTTAAGGGAGTACAACAGAAACGTCCTACAGAAGCGCAGAGTGTGATACTTCGGCGGTATTTCTTGGAATTGACAGAAAGTTTCATTATTCCATTAGTGAGTTCTTAGACTAATGGGGTTTTTACATAAGTAATAAGGAGTAGTTTTTCTGGAGTTACCCTATGTCCAGTAGCTCTCCAGTGTACCCCTGGAATGAAGCCTGGGTCCAGCACTAGGCTCTGCTGGTGGGGCACAGGTGCCTCCTGCTGTCACACTTGGCAATGGCCCCACTCCCTGTGCCTTGGACACCTTGAGCTCTGGCCATGCCTATGCTAAGCCTTGCTAGAGCAGAGATGGTCACAGCTCAGACAGTCTTCTGTGGGTTAGTTCTAACTAATGTTTGGTAAGGAACTCAGAAAAATCTCTTCCGTACACTTGATACAAAATACAGTTACTGTTCAGAATCAGCCAAGTTATGAAGGTACCTGTGGACTGTTTCCAAGAAAAGAGAGATTATTTATCAGTGGCTTAAGTTCAGGATATAGATATTCTATGTGTGCATTTGCTTCCTGTTCTTTGTCTCATGTCCTTCTTGAACTTCACTGGCTTAAAGTTCTGGAGTTGGGAAATGCAGTGTGTATAAGATAAGCTCCTTGTCTTCTCATGTGGTAAATATGCACAGCCCCACCCTGTACTAACACTGGGAAGAGAAAAAGCTGTGGTCAGAAGCAATAAGTAAACACACATGTGGACTGTGTGTCTTTAAAACTGGTTATGCAAACAACCTTTCCTTTTCCCCAGGAACGTTATGTGGCAAGCCTAATGCCTTTGCAGAAATGCATATCACCCTGGAAGGTAAGGAAGTATAATTTGATTGAGCTGGAAATTGGTTATTAAAGAAATGAAGAGCTACTAATTTTTTTTTTACTTTCCACAGAGTCCACCACAGCTGAGGCAGTTTAGCCAAGATGACTTCATGAAGACACTGGAAAAAGCAGGACCACAGCTCACCTCAGGTTTAAAGGGAGATTGGATAGGACTTTACAGGTAATTTCTTTCATCAGCATAAAAAAATTATATAAATTAAACAGCTCAGTAATATTAATGGTGTTTTTTCCAGAGGAAACTTACAATCAGGATTGATTTGAATAAGACTTTCTTTTAGGTTGTATGCTTTAATAGAAATTGATAGTGCTAAGTGTACTTTACTAGCTTAAATCTCTTTCTCGGCTGACAATACAGGTTTCTGTAGATCAGTGTTATTTGTGGGTTTTTTTCTGATTCTAGCTTGATTCCTCCTTCCAATCAAACACAAAGATAAAAATTAGGCTATTTCAAACTGAACCTTGATTTTTTTTTTCCTAAAATTCCCTAATCTTTATTGTGTTTCAGACACACGTTCTTTCCATTCTTTTCTCAGGCCTTATCTTAATTAATAGAAGTACCTGTTAATCTCTACTTTAGAATATTACATCTTTCTGAAAGTTTATAGAGAAAGGGTTCTAGTATCTTAGTCTCAAATATAATTACATTTAATGATGTAGAAAACACTGTTACCAAATTGTACTTAAAATATAAAATGTATTTTTCTTTGGTGTTTTACCAGGCATTTTTTGAAATCACCAAACTTTGATGGTTGGTTTAGGAGCCGGCAGAGAGAAATGACACAGAAGTTAGAGGCCCTTCATTTAGAAGCACTCTGTAACGAGGTTAGAAAAATGTGTGCTTACGATTATATTTATCATCTTGTAATAAAAATACATTCTTCCACAAGTCAGTTTTACTCCTGTTTTCATAGGTCAAATGTGAAGTTGTTGACAGTTTTGTGAATCCTGATGTAGCAAAACATGATTTTGTTAAACAAGTACAAGCTAGAACTAACACAGCAAGAGAACAATATGAAATACAGTTCACTTGTCATAACAACTGTCACTGTTTGTAAAACCTACCTTTAGTATTTTTTTGTTTTGTTGCATATTTTAAAATAAAGTACACACCCACCCTCCAAAAAAATGCTTTTTCCTCTTACTTGACAATATTATTTTATTCAGCTTTTATGCTTGACAACGTATTTTCAGTTACAATATAATTTGTAGCTTTAAAGGTAAATATTCAGCAAATCTGACATTCTAACTGACAGCTAATTAGATATATTTACTAAATAAGCCTACAACTGATCCATAGTAATGGAAAGTTTAGAAGTGAAGTTCTGTTTAGAACAAAATGCCACACCACATAACTATTCTGATGTTGAGACATCCATTCTTTAATTAGGAAGCCAGAGTGGGTATCAATATAATTTGAATTGGAACAACTGCTGGAGAAAGGAATTGCAGGAGGTGAAGATGTTGTACAGCCAGAGGGGGAATAGGAAGAACAAAAACAAAGTAAGGCAGCACAACAGCTTTAAAACAAAGGAACAAAATTACTCTGGTTATTTCTCAAAAGTCATTTATTTTTATCCCTTGCTTTGTCAATTCCCAAACACTACAAACAGCAAATCCAAACAGATTATTCAGATAGAAGAGACCAAATAATTTGCAGGTCAGTTATACAAGTTAGACTCTATCCATCTGTATTTGACATTAACTTAATCAAAGAAAAGAAAATGTCTTACAAATTTATTACCGATTCTGCTCCTTTATTGTTTTGTTCTTTTGATCCGTCAAAGAAATGTTTCTTTGTACATGAAAAAATGTCTTTCATAGGTGAGTCATAAGAGGGTAGGGGAGCAGAACTTCCATAAGAAAATCCACTTGATTATATCTTACTAGTTATCAGCTGTCATCTCCTTTAATGCCCTAGAAACAGTAAGCACTGCCCTGAATGACTTTAATACTGCATTGTGCTGTCACTTCTGATTTGGTAATCATTCACTGCCATTTTGCATTGTAGATGCTCTTTCTCAAACTAAGCCTGTTTAGCAGGATTTTTTTCCCCTTTAATTTGTTTGTATTGTGTTTGTGTGCAAGTTTGCTGTTAAGTGAAGTACTGAGCAAATACGCAAATAAAGCAGATTTTGCAGTTCACAGTAAAGGTGGTGCAGTAAAATGAGGTGAGCAAATGGCATAGCAATAAGGAAAATACCTATACTGAACATTAAGTATAGATTAAAACCTCTTTTGAAAATTGCATATGTAACCATAAATAATTGAATGCCTGATTGCTTTTTATTTTAGAACTTGGTTTTCTGGAGTCAGAAGCATACTGAGGTAGAAACGGTGGATCTTGTCTTAAAGTTAAAAAATAAACTGGTAAGTAACTGAATTGAACATGACTTAGCTACATAAAAGCATTATATAGTTCCTTTTGCAAGTACATAAATGAAAATATTCTTCATGATCTAGGTAGTTTAAAGAATCAATCATTCATTCAGACTTTAAAAACAAAAACTGTCAATTTCGGCCATGCCTGAAAAGTTAGTGGCTTCTGATTATTATCTGGCTATGCTGGAAGCATTGTATTGCTGGATTGTTGGGTTTTTTTTAATTAGCTGGAACTCTGTGACTGATCAGAATCCCCAGGGAAGAAGAAAACCAAATTTTGTTGTTATTTCTGAAAGTTCAAATCAATGTTTTTCTCACTGTTGCATGGTTGCTGAGGAAACCTGCTGTTGTCCAAATTCCTACTCAGCAAATGAGGAATTCATTTTCCAGATTTTCTAATACATTACTTCAATATTTCTAAAGGTAAACTTGCATTTTTAGTAAAAATCATCTTTTCTGGTCCTTTGCAGTTGCAGGCTGACACAGAACGTCTTCCTGTGAAAACTGACACGCTGAAAAAACTACAAACACACATCAATGATATTATACTGGCACTGCCAGATGACTTACAGGACATCTTGCTCAAAACTGGCACAACATGATTTCTACTGGGCTTTTTTGGTGCAGAAAACCAAAAGGCAAGTAGTCTCAAGGAAGACAGTGGCTTTCCAAGTTTGGAACACAGCTCTAAACCAGTAAACATTAACACTACAAATGGACTGTACTAATAGTATAGCCCATGATATCATTTTCACTGTTTTTTCCATTTCAATACCAATGCAACTAAAGGGATTCTTGTGTGTAATACTATTTTAAATAAGTGCTCTTAAAAATAATTTGTGGGCATATGAAGCTGTGCCACAGTATAGGACTACAGTGCAGTGCTGGCATTGCAGAATGTTTTTCAATTGGTGCTGCTATACCCAGTCCTACTCAGGGCATTATTGATCCTCTGACTCTGTCCTCTCAACTGTCCTGTTGATGTAGTATCTGATTATTTTTCTTTGTTTTTTACTTTTAGCTTTTAGCTCGTGGTAAGTCCAACTGTGACATATTGGTGATTTGGCCAGAATGCCATATAATTGAGGTATTTTACTGGTAAATCACAGCTTTTAAAACTGCTTCAGGAACAACTGAAATTATCAGATCCATTCTTAACTTTTGGCATTTCTGCTTCTTTACCATCTTTCCAAAATGATACTGATTTAGCATCTTTAAAGAAGAGAAGGCAGCTGACAAAAATTTCCTGAAGGGAAGTCTCTTCCACTCAGTGTCAGTTATCAGGGTGCTCTTACATGCCTTAAAGTAATTATATACTAATTTGCTGACATCCAGGATTTCAACTGGATCACTCTCTTAAGCATGCAGTAGTCATCACAGGAAATAAACACTGTGGTGTTCTTAGAGGGATTTTAAAATTGGTGATTTCAGTAGAGTTAGCTGACACAGTCTGTTTCAGTTGGAGATCATACTAGTCAGCTCCTGTTATAATTTTTAACTTTATTATTTTTGACTTGCCCAGTCAAGTGTTTGAGGAGGTGATGAGGCTGGAGGGAGAAAATGTTGGCTTCAGCTGAAAAAAGCCTCTGGACAGGCCAGACTGGCACAAAAAGATTGTAGCATGAAATTATTCTCAGATTGTGCATACAGCAGACATGAATAAAGAGCAATTTCCTCTTGCATATTAAGCAACAAGTAAGGGATGTTTTATCTTCTTGAACAAGTCACAGTCATATATAAGAACTCAGCTGCTCCACGTGCATTGTACTTTGACCACTTTTGAGTAAACATAATGCTATAGCGTACACACAGCATATACTTTTATATGTCAAGTGGATCACAGTTATTAAAAAAAAACACTCTGCTTTTAAGTGCTTGGATAGAACTTTTAAAATCTTATGACATAATCCTGCTATAAGAGTATGCTTTTGTATAATAAATATTTCATACCATCTTTCTAAAAATGTCTTATTTAGATATAAAATGTCACAACAGTATTTTTATGAAAAGAATGTATTTTAATACTGTTATGTTTTATATACAATTACTCACGACCAAAAGATTAATGTATCTATTATGTTACTTAAACTATACCACTTCAGCATTAATTGCTAACTTGCAATTTTTATTTTTTTTTTGCACGCCCTGATGAAAAGCATTTCTAATCCAGAAATTCTTAAGTGGCCATTCATACCCTAAATTATCTTAACTGTTTAACCTGGAGCACTGTTATTTCTTGGAAACATGTAAACTGGTAACAACTATGATAACTAGCACATGACTGCAAATACATATTTTTTTAAACAAAAATAAAGAGTTTGATTTTTTTTTTTTTCCTTTGGAAGTTATGTGCTTTAGATGATGGGTGTTTTTGGTTTGCCTGTTTTTTCCCTTTTCCTGTGTAAGCAGAGATGTTCAGCTTGCAAAAACTGCTTCTTGATGAAGCTGTACCCCTGAGCTGACCAGAAATGAGAGGGAGTGGTGTTGTAGTCTGATTATGCATTGTCGTTGGACTATAACAGCTGCAGGATCCTCAGCAAATCAAATGGCAGGGTCTGGATTCTAAAGCAAGTGTTTGTTAGATTATACTCAAAGAACTGAAATAGTGAAAGGTATCTGTTAATGATAGATACACTAAGAATAGGCCAGCCTGGAGATCCAGAAAGTAACTGTCCTCAAGCACAGGGAAGCTTAACCTGCCTAGCCTAAAAAAAAGAAGAGTAAATACTGAGTGCTTTGAATAGAAGATAGGTAAGTACTGGAAACCTAGAACTGGGTTCTAGGCACCTTAGATTACAGCTTCCTGATAGTTTTCATGGTTGATCAGGATCATATAACCATCACAGGCATGAACTAGATTTAAGGTATGATTGATTTATTTTATAAAGATACAACTTTCCATCTTAATTTACATCAGGTTTTGGGTTCAGAGGAGCATAATTTAGAATTAGAATAAGGTTTTCAACATGCCACCTAAGAGTGCTTGTGGATGCCCCATCCCTGGAAAGCGTTCAGGGTGGGTTGTGCAGGACACTGAGTCATGTGTCGTGGCAGGCCTTTGTCTATGGCAAGAGGGTGGAATGAGATGATGTAACCCAAGCCATTTTATGGTTCTGTGAGACCAGCCACAATTGTCTAGTTTAGTAGCCAGATCTTAGGATGTGGTTCAAGACTATCCTAACAAAGATCACTAACAATGTTTTTCTTTAGTAAAGGATGAGCAAATACCTTCTGTTAATAGAACGTTGACCCTAGTTCCGTTCAGTTTTACTCTGCTCTTAGGTGCCTGGGTCTGGTGCTCCCTGTCCCGTAAGCCAGTTCGGAGCTGCGCCCTGTGCTGCAGCTCGGGGCCTCTGCGAGGGTCAGGGCGAGTTGCCTATTAGTTACTGTAGTAGTGGATCTATATATACAATTTATAATAGAATAGTATGTCACAGCGCTGCCTTTTGTTGGTTTGTGTCAGTTTGGTGGTTGGGGGAGGTGTTTGTTTTAGGGTTTTTTTTTTATTAAATATCTTTGTCGCTGTTGGGGTACATTTGGAGCCTCTCCGAGGACTGGTTGCACCAGTGTCTCCCTGCGTGCCGGGAGCGGCACTTGCTGCCGTGCCCCCGCCCGGCGGCTGCGAACGGAGCGTTACCGGAGCTGCCACCTATCCCCGCAGCCCGGGCGGGGTCCGCCCGCGCCCGGCATGCCCCNGTGCGGATCGGGCTGTACTGGCCCTTCCTTTTCTCCCGCCGTGTGCCCGTTCCCCTCCCTGCCTCGCCCGCCGGTCCCGGCGAGGCCGAGCCCCATTCTCGCACCTGCGCCGGGCCGCGCGTGGAACAAAGATGGAATTGCGGCCGGACAGGGCCAGTGTCCCCGGGCGAGCCCTTCTGCCCCGGCACTGCGGCTCCGCGAGCAGGATGTGACAAAGCCTGGTGTGTGCAACACCAGGGGCGTAAGAACTGCCGTATAATGGCCGATTTTCGGCAGCTGTAGGGAGCTGTAGTCTGTATCTTGACTCTTGTGAAAGGGCGTTTCTGTATAGCCTCTGTGAACATTAGTTTTGTGCCTCGTGTACGAACCGATAAAACTCTCTAGGCAGCTCTTGCAGCGCTTGCTTAGTCTTACTGTCTCCCCTCTTAATGATTTCTTTTTGATATCTATTTATTTGGAAATGATATGTTCCCTTGATACGGACTTTGTAGGAGTTGAAGTCAGTGGGTCTTGAAGATTCTCACTTTCAGATTATAGTTCAAAAGGTCAAAGCCAGCACATACTGCATTGGTATTTCCTCCTCCGCTAAGAGTTCTTCCCTGCCTTCTTCCACCCACCTACCCACCCCTGCAAACTTTATGTACAAACAGTTCTTAGCCTCTAAATTTTTCTCAAATTCTGTTACCAAAGTGAATGGAATTTGGTTCATGGCCATTGACTGAAGTAGTTTGTCCTAAGGAACTAAATGCATTGCTCGTTTGGATATAGCCAGCAAGGGGAGTGGGTTCTAATTGTGAAACTTCCTGGCACACACCCATCCCTACCTAGTGCTACCTGGATATGCACAGCAGACACAGTAGTGCAGCTTTTAAAAATTTCAGTCTTTTAGGTTCTCCATATATTTTGTGATGGCAAAGTTCATTATTGCATACCCAATATTTTTTATTGTGTCTTACCTGACTGAAGTTAGAGACTCTCATCCGTTTCAAAATAATCCAATTTTAGCCTGCAAGACAGTTTAGTACATGTGTTGGTTTCAAGGAGGTGATTTGGTTGTCTCCCTAACAGCCAGACTCTTCATATGACTCTTAATGAATGAAGTCAAGTCTTCAAGTGAGCTTGACTATAGGATGTAGGATGAGACAGTGTCTGTGATATTTGCAGTTCTGTTACTTTCTGCAAAGTACTGAAAACAGGAAAGTGATGTCATACTGATCTAAACCACTTGCAAGGCTTTTCATTGGTAGGAAATCAGGTCAAATTTAGGTTAGATATGGCTTTGGAAGGTGCACTTTCTAGCAGTTGGTTCAAATTAATTTATTTTTATATTTCTTAAAAGAATTTGTTTTAATGCCTTGTATTAAAATGCAGTGCTGAACTGGGGCACTGTACTGTATTTGCACAGGACTGTATTTATTAAGAAGTATAGGAGAGTAGAACCTGGGGTATGTTGTGGTAAAAGTGTGTTATGTGACATAAACTGGATGTATAGAAGCAGAATTTTACAGTGAATATGACAATTTGTGTTTAACTGTAACACTAAAAATAATCTCTTCATAGTATTCTACACTGTATACCAGCACTTTGAGGAGAGATGTCTGAATGAATACTGGGATAGAATTAAAACTTTTCCTCAAGGTTATAATGTTCAGTGTATTGAAAATGGGGCTGTACAAGGCCAAACATTTAAGTTTCCTTATGTAGAATACTAATTAAGAAATGACTTTATGGGGTAAAATACTTAGGGGAAAAATATATGAGTAATATCAACATTAATTAGTTTATAATTTTGACTTCCTTTTCACAGCTTTCTTCTGTTTCTGCAGACTTGAAGATAAATTAGAGTTAATTTAGCTTCTAAAACAGACTGTGTTATTGAGTTCTGCAGAAATTGAGTATTTCTCATCAGGGACTATTACCAACAGCACTCAGTTAATATTTTATGTTCTCAAATTCCATTTATGATAAGAATTAGACATTTAATGTTATACTGCTACTGAAACATTGTTTTTTTAAAAAATACGCTTGTATAAGTAAGTATTTTTCAAAAATATTAAGTTATTATTTGGAAGAAATGCATGAAAAGAAGATTCACACATTTTCTTTTATACATAACATGAGGGAAAAGAAAGAACTGTGGGATAGGGCTGAATATCTGGAAGTCAGATTAGGCAACTGGGGTATTAAGAGTAGAAACATTGAGTCCTAACCCTACATGTGCCTGTCTGTAAAACTCTTCACTGGTGATTTTTTGTCCTTGGAAAAAAAAGGTACAGATTCACTGTGCTCCTTTCAGTACCATAATTTAGTGTTCTGTGTCTTGGTGTAGTTGTGCAAGTGTTAACTGACATGGTAACTACTCAGGAGCTTCAAATATAAAGGTAATTATTAAATATATTGGGTGGAAAATGTCAGGTTCTTTGGGAATTGTGTCAGTGTAAAACAAATCATAGTCATTTAACTGTTTCTTATTTAGGCAGGTGTTGTTTTACACAACTGTTGATTTGCATGCTGTTAGCTTCCTGTAGTTTTTATGAAGTTTTGTGCTGTGATAACAGAGGCAGCTTGATACTCAGCCACCAGTGATCAGAGTAGGAAGTTGGTTAATGAAGGATGTGATGTGGTCAGGGATGATGTTCCTAAGACAAGTGAACTAGAAGCTTGAGATTTAGAAACACAGCTGACAGGCTGTAAATAAAACACTCTAAGAGGAATAAAGGGCTTAAAACCACAGTGATTTTAGCAGCACCTGAAAGCATTGTAGGTATTTTTTCTCCAGCTAGAGGAAGAAGATGTTTGATTCTGTTTAAAGGTGAATGGTTGCAAGTACAGGTCTATGCTTTCCATTTGTACTTTATTGTAATCTTGGTGCTTTGCAGTACAATGACTTAATATTACACCCTTCATTGAGTCTCTTACACCTTGGTCTTGACAATGGCCAGTCAGGCAGTAGAATCAGTGAAAATGTAGAACTGGAAATTGACTTTGTTTAGAGATTTAAGATGTGGCTTTTAATCTTGTTGAAGTTAAGATGTGGCAGTAGTTCATAGGTTTACATTTAGTGTTCCAGTTCAAATGTAAACCTGGTTATTCTTGGATTACTAAAAGCAATAGTTACACTTTTGAGTTACCAGCTCAAAAGATTAAATGTGATTTAGTGCTCTGAATTTTTTTTAAAGGGTGGTAAATTGCAAATTTGAGTAAGAAATATGAATGGAGGCTATGTTTTACATGACTTGCTTCTTTAGACTTCATAACATTTGCAGTTTGGCCAAAAGAGGCAGTTTTTGCAAATAGGGTAATGGGGATTTACGTAACGTTCTTCCCTCAGTTAAGCTTCTGCCTCAAGTATGAAGTCAGAAGAAAATACATACCCATAACCCCATAACTCAGCCTGCCTCAGTGCAAAGTCCAACAGCTTAATCAAGAGTTGTAAGAGTGGATTTAAGCAAAGTCTGGGCTTTGTGCTTACATAGGCACTGTAGCCTTCTGCCAGCACCACTGAGGTGCACAAGGGTAGAGTGGGTTACTGGGGCAGTATTTTCGTAATATAGCAAGTAGTTTAAAATTCTGGCTAGTTTCTAATTTCTTAGCTCTGAGTCATGTCTTCAAATAGATCTCAATACCCTGTGTACATTCTTTGAAATGAGATTAGCTTTTTTCTTTGTCTTTATCTATGTTGTTAGTATAAACCTCAAATACACTCCAACCGTTTGTGTAGACAGTGGTATCTTTCTTACATTATTAATTTTAACAGATCTTGTCAGTGCTATATTGATAATGGAGTAATCTCTTTGGTGGGGAGCAATCAGAGAAGAGTTGTGAGTAGTAGTTTTAACTCTAATTGGTTCACTAAACTATCTTATTATTAATTTACTGGAAAGGAAACCTATTATATCATGTACAGGCATTATATGTTCTTATGAAGATCTGTGTGTCCTACAAGTGCTTATATGAGGTTGAGCTGTGTGAAAACAGTGCTGGGCTTCAAGCATTGTGCTGGTAAAAACATCAGCTTTCAGCATAGGTGGAGTATTTGAGGGTTCTGAAGTCAGCTTAGAGGATTTTGTAAGGTGACCTGACACTTAACTGGTGTGGGGAAAATTGTGGCATTTACAAGTTTCATGACTTGCGAGTTCTCGTCTAATTTCTGCTGCACCGTGACTTTTTTTGTTCATGCTTGTGTGTGGTTCTGAAGGAGACCAACACTTAATAGCAAACTCAAACCGCTTAAATTTCATTTTGGGCATTTTGGGAGTAAAGGAGCTTTGGTTTTGATGGTAGCTTCCCACCCCCTTTCTTTCATGCTGTCATGACATCAAGAATTTAAACAACTTTTTTTTTTTTTTTTTTTTTTTTTTTTTTTTTTTTTTTTTTAATATGCAATGACATTACCAAAGAAACTGCATTGGTATGTTTAATCCTGTGCACACTATTAGAATATAGGACAATTGTAGATAGGGTTTTTAAAATTAGTTTGCTACAACAGCAGTTTGTGTCTTGAGAAAAAGGAGGTTTTTCAAGAGTTTGGTTTCATTCTGAAAGGGCAGTTAATTTTGAATCCCCCTTTTTTTGCAATGCTAAGGAGACAGTTGTATTGTTAATAGGCAAGTCAGCAAGCCACTTAAAGCTTAATATATTGCAGTTGCAGAATAGGAAGTTAACTCAGAATGCTTAAGAATGTGTGTTATCCTTATAAAATGAGGATAGTATTTGGTTTCTTGCAAAAATACTAATTAATTCTTTTGATCAGAGGTATTTTTGTTTGGGCAAAATGTTACTGACATTAGTAATGACATGATAGATATTTTGTGCTGTAGTGTTTAGTACCTGCTGTTTGTTGAGGTGCTTGTGTGCTAGGTATTGGTTTCTAATTTAAAGAATTCTATTTTGAGTTACATTTATTTATGTGTTCTAAAATGCTTAACAATAAGCAGTTTCACAAACAGTTTTAGAAAACTACAGTGTATGCTTGCAGTTTGGTGCTATGTCTAAAAAATGTCTTTTAGGCTCATTTTATTTTATTTCTGAAGGAACCCATATTTACCACATAGCTTACATTGAAAACCAGCAAGCTTAAGTTTTGTTTTAGAAACAGAAGAGTAAATTTAAGTGCAAAAGGTCTTCTGTAAGGACCAACAGTCACTAGAAGGAGACTCCTAATGGAAGCGTTGTAGTGGATCTCACTGAATGGAAATTATATCCTGAAGAAGACCTACAGCCCTTGTGGTATATGTGGAGGGATGATGAGAGATTCCTGATGTATATGTCAGTGCTAAAGAAATGTTTTAGCAAGAGAGGAGTGGCTGGAATAAGGGACAAGAAGTGCCTTTCACGTATAGTGCCCATTCAGTTGGTCCACGTGCCTGTGAAGCTGAGCTCTGCAGGAGATTAAGTGAGGCCTTCCCCAGTTAGTGAAGTAACAAATGTGTGATCAGTTAGAAATTGTGTGCTGCTTATAGATTGTTGCTAAGCTTTTAAAATCTTCCTGATTTACACAAAAGTAACTTCCAACATGAATGATAAAGCTTAATTAACACAAATACTAAGGAAGATTACTAGAAACTTGCGAGCCTGTAGGTTGTGAATGGAAGCATCTTACTGAGCTTGTTTTCTTCGTGACTAGTTCTCTCTCAGTGCTGGGTAGAGGAGATAGGGAAAAACATAGAGTAGTTTATCAGCAATGAGTTAAGAGTGTTAAAAAAGCTGTTCTCAGTAAAAAAATCCTAGTACTCTGCATGTAAAATGACATGTTTTTAAATTAGCAGGTTGTAGTTCCGTTTGTGAACTAAATTAATTTTTCTCTTCCTTCTAGTTGGTTTGGATGCTGCTGGTAAGACAACCATTCTTTATAAACTGAAACTAGGAGAAATTGTCACCACAATTCCCACTATTGGTAAGACCACCAGTTCTTATATCTTTATTGTTGTTGCTCTAAACCTGACAGGCCTCTGAAGGGTGCAGGGATTTGCTATCTTTGCTTTTAGAGTAAGAATCAAGACAACATGAACTGTCTGATACTGCCATAATGTAACTGTGTCAGACGAAAGAGACATCCAGACCAGAATCCCAGTGATCATGGGCAGATCACGGCCAGTAGCAGATGCACAGATCAGTAGCACCACCTTCCCCAAACACCATGAGCTGCACAGTTTGTGGCTGAAAGATGTGCTCAACCACTTGGACTTGGATTTAAGTGACTCATGTTTTTTCCCCCTTCAGTCAGTTTTCTTCCTGATTTACCAGTTCAGTATTGATAAGCCATTTTATACATATTTGGGAGACGTGTACCTTAGGAAGTATCTATCTTTAACATGGTTAGAATTATGTTTTAACACTAGAATTAATTATTTCTAATTAAACTTCTTCATTTTTAGGTTTTAATGTGGAGACGGTAGAATATAAAAACATTTGTTTCACAGTTTGGGATGTTGGTGGTCAAGATAAAATTAGACCTCTTTGGAGGCATTATTTCCAAAACACACAGGTAAGAGTACTCAGATGGCACTAGTTAAAGACTTACTTTGTAAAGCCTCATTGGGTTTTTTAGAGTACGTATGGAAAGCTGTTTTCTTTCTTTCAGGAAGGCTCTGTACTACTTCCTGCAACTTCTGAGGGTACCCAAATTTTATTCTAGTTGAATCTAATTTATTCCCTGAAGGCTTCAAGCCTAGTTGTGAGTGTATCCTCTTAAGCATCAAGTCCTTTAGGATCTACCAGTGTTCTGTAATGTGCCAGAGCAACAGATTTCTAGTGAGGAACTCTTAAAATACATGGCTTTTACTATGCTGTCAGTGTTTTTAGTAAGCTGAGCATCTAAGATACGGTGAAAGATCTTGTTACCAGTTGATTTAAAAGTGCCAGCCTCACACTGAGGTGACTGCAGTTAGTTTTTGGGATATAAATGTGATACCTTTGGTTCACAAGTAGTGAAGTAAATTGCTTATTAGCATCAGAAAACTTCTGGAGTAAGTTTGGGGATTTTTTTATGTTGAATATAGAATTGTTTCCATGATATTTGTGTGCAGCATAATTTATATGATTGGTGCAGAAAAATACAGAGGTCTGGATTGATAAAAGGGACCTTGCACCACCATACTGTTGTGAATAGAGTAATATGTAATTTCAGTTCCTTATTACTGTCCTGTTACTAAATACTTAAAAAAAACACTTCTCTTTCCTTGAAGAGAGTGATAAAAGGAAGGTTTTCAGACTGAAAAGTTAAGAATAAATTGTGTAAGAAGAACACTTGAATAACAGAGATGCCATTAGAAGTACTGTTTGATAGAAACATTTTAAAACAAATTCAGGCATTACTTTAAGGGTGTGGGTTTTTTCAGTGACACAGGAGATGGTGAAGCATTTGTGATTTTCAATACAGTAAGTGAAAGGGGAGGGGCAAGAGTTAGTTTATGTAATTTTTCTGCATCTTTTTCCCCTAACATTATTTTGAAGTTGAGACTTAGGTGGTTGTTCAGACCCACATCATACATTGTTTACAGAAATTTCTGTTAAATTTGTCAACTTTCTTAGGTAAGCAATTACAATATTCAATATGAATACTTTGGCGGTTTTAAGATAGTGCTGCACATTTACATTATTTTTTTAAAATCTGCTTAACTTTCTACAGGGCCTCATTTTTGTGGTAGACAGCAATGACAGAGAGAGAATCCAGGAAGCAGCAGAAGAGCTGCAGAAAATGGTAAATATCAGTGTCTTCTGAGGTATCACTGTTAGACTGACTTGTCCGATTTTTGGATGTTTGTCAGGTTCCCTAAGAGATTTAGGGTTTTAAAGTTTTAGGGAGTCTGTACAGTGCATCTTGTATTCAGCTGGTAATTCTGGGTCACATAGTGCACCAAGTTGTAATTTCACTCTGTAGAAAACTAATAATGTGTCAGAATCCTTCATTCATGAAACCTTGATAAAAATGCAGCAGAAAATAATTTTGGAAGAACAGATTGCTGTTCAGGTGCTAGAGAATATTTCATCAGCAAGGTGCCCATAAATTTAAACTTTTTAAATTGAAAGGTGGCTTCCTTAATTGCAGGAGTTCTGTTGTATACTAGTTAAATTTCACTCAATACTTATTAATGACTTCAGGAGCAAGAATGAAAATGTTTACAACCCTTAAATCAGTGTTTCAATTATTTTTAATGTTTGTTGAAGTAACTGACTTACTTAACTGAGGCAATTTAATAACATGCCTGTTTTTTCTGTTAGCTTCAGGAGGATGAACTGCGAGATGCAGTGCTGCTTCTGTTCGCAAACAAACAGGATCTGCCAAATGCCATGGCAATCAGTGAAATGACAGATAAACTAGGCCTTCAGTCTCTGCGTAACAGAACTGTAAGTGCTAAACTTTGAGGCCTTCAGTCTCTGCGTAACAGAACTGTAAGTGCTAAACTTTGACTGCTGAAATCTTTTCTCACTCTATTATATATCATGAACATAAAGTTCCTCTAAGGGAAAGGGTAGTTTTCACCTCTTACAGACATCCAGCATTTCACAAAGTATGTGATGGACTTTCCTGTTTTCTCAGTATTCTGGGAGAATAAATGCATTCTGCATTCCTACCTCCAGGAGGAAATTACATAGCTTCTGAAGTATTAGATTCTATCTGCTCAAGCTTTAGAGACACAGGTTTGCTTCACATTAACTATTCCACCATTTGTAATCATGAGTGTCTGTGTTGACACACTAAGATCCTGACCATAGAAGCTGTTTCAGAGGTCCATTCATGTAGATAATTCCATGTTCACTTCCTGAAGAGCAATCTTTCAGAGACAAGAAGTAGTTTTCAGCATGTAAACCAAATACAAGTTCTGTATTTGTTTCTTGATGCCTCAAACTATGCTGTAGCCTTTACTAGGCCAACATTTGAGTTTTTGGATAATGTCTGAACCTCCTCTACACTACATGTACTTCTCAAAATTTTTTTAAAATACCATTTTTTCAATTTGACTCACGGCACAAAATGCTGTTTAAAGAATGCTGTTATAACACAATTATAACAACCTAACGAGTGTCACATACAGTCATAACATAGCTTGCATTTTGTCAGTATTTAAATTTAATTTTTGTGTTCTGCATTAACAGTGGTACGTCCAGGCTACCTGTGCTACACAAGGAACTGGTCTGTATGAGGGACTTGACTGGCTGTCAAATGAACTCTCAAAACGCTAATTCCAACTGGATGACTCTTTCACCAGGGACATGTTTGATATAAGTGGTCTAGGCTTGTTACAACAAAATTAGTTTGCATCTTGGTTATTACAGTATCTGGAACTGATATTTGGGCAGGATATTACAGAGTTTCAACTTGTTTTGTTGCCAATTATTGTTTACCGAGCTACATGTTGCAAAGGTAGCAATATGCTTGGGTAAAAAAATCTCCTTAACTTGGAAAAAGTGTATCTTCTGATTTTATTCCCCTTGTTAGCCTAAATGCCTGAATATAGTTATTGTGACATGTTTAAGATCTGTTTGAATACTCTTTGAGCCCAAATAAATTAATGTTTTAATTTTTTTTTCTCCCTTCTACTCTTAGTTTACTGATGCCCTGTTTCATTCCTCAGACAGTCTGCTGATTTAAAAATGTAGCATTCCGTATGTATTTATTTCTCTCCCTTGCCAAAAAGATTTCCTAATACTGCTTGTTCCAAGCCAAGGAAATGCTCTAAAACACTATACAAATCTACTGCACTGAGGAACATTTTATTAATCCTTGGGTTCTGTCAGCCCAACTTGCCTTTGTGTGAATTGGATTTGATGGGTAGAATAGTTCTGTGCTGGTTGCGAAGAGCTCATGTTGAGGTTGTTTTTAATATTCAGCAGATTGTCTTCCTTTATATTGTATCTTTTTTTTATGTTGCATGTTGCTTTTTGGTATCAGCCTGACTATTTTTGCCCAGTGTATAATAATTCTGCTGAAGTTTTACTGTTTGTTGGTGAACATATCTTCATAAGGAAATTTTGGAAAATTCATCAAACTCAATGGATTAGTTTCTTCATAACCCACTTGGAATTATTCCTAATAAAATTATAAAATGTATAGTTCTGTGTATGCTCTTCTTGATTCCTGAAATAGTTGAATGTAAATTATCACTTATTCTTTCTCCGTATACTGAGCTTTCCTGCAGCTTGAATATGAATACCAGTCTCAGATTTTCACTTGCTTGGAGCTGTGTAGAATGAGACATGGAAGGGAGGCAACCAAGTTGTATACAGTGCAGTAGAGTAGCTGTCATCGGGGCTTACATAATTCTGTAATGTCTTTTGAAGTTGTAAATCTAAAATTCCTTTCAAGATGTCCAGATCTGAAAATACTAACAATTTAAAAAAATTGTAATAAAACAAATTTGAACTGCCTGAAAAGCATGCATGTCTGTTTCATAGTTTTATCTACATGTCAAAACCTACGTGAGTCCCAGCAGGAGAGTCACACATTCTGTTGATGGCTAGCTGGGAAGGTAACCTGAGTGCTTTTACAGGGATATAGCAAATATTATAATAATGCTGATAATCACCCCCAAAAATCATCTCTGTACAGCTGCTACGCCCTGTTTACATATTTCTGTCCTCTTACACCTTTGTAGTTCAAAAGGTGTAAATGAATATGTGTTTTGAGGCTGCAACTACTGGGTAGTTTAAAATCTATTTTTCGGTTGCCTATCTGCTGTATAGAAGCAAATATTGCTCAACTAAAATGTGCTGTCCAAATGATTTGATGTCTTTAGGAACTCAAAGCATGATTCTGTTATGGTTTCGGGCTAAGCGCTTCTCATTTTCCACCCAGGTCTGGTTACCCTTGCTACAAGAAATCCCAGTGACAAGGTCTGGTAAACTCAAGCTAGTTTTGGTTCAGAACACATTCCTGGGCAGCTTCTACTGTAAGTCAGGTTTAAGTTCTTAGGAGGTGCTCTTACTGTGAGCACAGCTAAGCAGGGAACAATTCTGAGTTTACAGTCCTTAAATGTCTTCAACATGCAACGGAAACCCAGGAGACAGTGTAAGGTGAGAAGGGCTTTGCCTGCACCTTTAATGAATTACTGATTACTTATTAACCAAAGCTGATACACCCATGCATTTGATCAGTAGCTGTTGATGCACATTTCTAGCAATGCAGTTCCTTGAATTAAACTATAAAAGGTACGCCTTGTTCAGAAGAGACAGCTTGTCCCTCATAGAAGTTGGTTTTTGCAGTCCCAGTAGATTTAGATAAACAATTGTTTATCTTAAACTTGTTACACAGTTAGAGGTAAAAGTTAATAGTTACTAACATGGTTTGTCATTTCCCTATCAGAAGTCAAATACCTGAACTGAGCTGCTATCCCTGGAGTTCAAAATCTTGAACAGGCATGAGGCTGCTAAAAATGTGTTCCTCATTCACTGTAGTGACAGGAAATCCTGAGTTCCAGTAGCTGAAATTTTTATTTGTATACACAGTATAACTTATGTATTCAAACAAATGTGTAGGTTCTACTGCACTGGGGAGGTAGTCAAGTAATACTTGATACAGGAGGCTTTATTTCAGTGTGTCAGAAATAATGGCCAGCTTAACTGTAGAGAGCAAAACACTAAAGAATGAGTGGGTTTTCTTTTATTTGACCATGGTGACACAATTTATTTCTCAAATATTAAGCACATGCATGATTTTCATTTTTTTCATTGCTTACAAGAATAGCCCAGGTTGTATAAAATATTGGTTTGTGTTTTGCCAGTAACTAAAATTCAGAGCCCAGTTATTAGTCACTTGTTAGTCTAAGAAATCCTTCTGTAAAGGTGGAAGAAGAAACTTTTCCCTCTTGAGACAAAAGCCAGGCAGGAGGAAGCACTGTCTCGAGTTTAATGAATCAGAGATGGGAAATTCAAGTAGTAGGCAAAGAGGTTTTACTTTTTCCTTCAACAGGTGGTCTGGGAAAGTAGAGTAACAAAAACAAAGAAATCCCACACATATTTACCAAGATGCGAAAGAAAATCCTACCTGTTTTTTTGTTGTGAAGGGCATGGAGCTTTCCAGTTGATGAGGAACAAGTACAGGTAAGTTTAGTTTTATGAAATAAAATGGAGACAAGAATGCGACTTGTACCAATGTGGGTTCTAGATGTGATTTAGAGAGGAAGAATTAATTCCTGGGCAAGGTCCAGAGGTGTAGGGGGAGCCAAAATGGGAGTTAAAATCAATGTATGTGCACTAGGAAGCACCATCTTACCTTACACAGATGTAAATACAGCTTGGGAGTGTGGGGGCTTTGGGCCAAAGGTATACCTAAGGGTTCTCTTACCCTAAAAAACTCGGGTTTTTGAACTGTGCCTTTCCTAATCTAGATGCTAGTGCTGCATTCTCATTCCAGACATGCAACAGGTTCCTGACAAATTGCTGCAATTGGCAGCCTCTGCTGCTGCAGTTTCCTAATTAAATGGAGGATACTGGGTCTGGAGACTCCCCAGCATCAGCTCACAGGGCTGAATTTCTCCTAAACATAGTAAAGGATTATCTGCCTTGTGCAAGGACCTGGTCCAGTGCTGTGTTTGTCCTCACCACTTGCTTCCTGCAGATTCCAGCTTCCCTGTGCACTCCCTCTCCCCAGTCTGCAGGAAAACAGAGGCAGCAGCCCAAGTGCCAGCATAGCAAGTGGGAGGGAATTGCTGTTTCTCGGAAGAGAGGCAGAGCACCAGGCAAGTCTGTTCTCTGAGCAGCTCCATCATCTGGTTGTAGGGACAAGTTACAGATTTTTAATATTTTGGGCTTGGAAAAGACAAAGTAACTCAGTTGTAACGGATCAGTACATAAAAATGAGGAAAAGTATGTTCTTCCAAGTTCTAAGGGGAGCTCAGCCTTTATAAGTAATACAATCTCTCTTCCAAACTTCACAATTGCAGTCTTACTGTTCTGAGATGTTTTTCTTGCCATCCTGCATTATTCAGTGGAGTTTGGGGTTGTTTTCCCTCCTTTTTTTTCAGAGCTGGCAATTTGTAGGCCTGTGTATTTCTGACTCAACTGTAATGCAGTAATTTTCAGTATTTTCCCTGGTGTTGATACTGAATTTTTTTCTTGAATAGATCTTCCAATTAATTTTTCTACCCTTTAAGATGTCATATGCTTGCAACTGTTACTTCTTCAGGTGTAAGTGTTCCGTCATTTGTAAATTAGTAAAAATTATTTGCCAATATAGGGGGCTTACAGCTTTTATTTTGTTTGCAAGATTTTCTCCTCACACCTGTATGATGAACACAACTCTGTGTTGAAGTTATGAATCAATGATACTTCTGTTATGAACTTCGGGGTCTAGGAGAGTACAGACATCAACTCATGCAAGACTGAATTACATATTATTTTTTATTTAGACTTATAAAAAACCTGACCAAAAATTCACCCAAATTATTTACAATCTAATTTTCCAGGGAGAGTCCATCACTAGTGCAGTGATTTAACAACGTTCATTACCACTTTCCATTTTGGTTCCCTTTTGTATCCAAAGGTGCTTTGCTACTATGTGGCTTAGCTGCTGCCTAAAACCAGAAATCTGAGGGTTTACATATAGCCTGGCAAAACCATTGGAATAAACGAGCACCATCTCATTCAGGTCTTGTATTAGGTTTTGGAGTGGACCTGCTGGAGCAGGGTAAGGTCTTGCTTCAAGCTTTCATCACCTCTTTCCACCTCCAAGCCTACTGTATGTATCTTGTTCTTTAGGTAAAAATGGCTTTAAGGTGACTAAGTTCAGGACATGAAGATCCACTAAAATGGTAATACAAGCAAGAGAACTAAAGGCCCTGTATTTTTAACAGGATCCACATCCATTTTAGTTTGGTGTGGCATAGGCAGTAGAGCAGATCAGGTAAGAGTTTGGGCTAAGAGGAAGGTTAACTGCCTGTGTTGCTGAAAAGCTGCTTTCAAAGGACATTTACAAGAGCTCTTTAGCAACACAGACTTCTACAGACTTAGAGTAGTGGAGTTTGTCCATTTCTCTGTATTTGTGGGCAGAGTTGTTAATAAAATTCATGAGATTTGTCTTCTCACATCATGCTTTTTGAAACAGTTTTGAAATTTATGGGCCTGTTACCTTTTTAGCCTTGTATGATCTCTGAAGGTAAATGTGCTTTGAGGGCTTTGCTACTGCAGCTACCAGCATGATGTTAGATGCCCAGACACTACAGCACCGAAAGGAACAGTAGTAATTGTATTGGAAATAACAGAAAAGAGCAGTTATTTAAAAGGTTCTCCCTACCACCACCATTCACAGCAGAGCAAATACTATGGCAAGAGACAGCACCAGCAACCCTTGGAAATATCCCACCTGAAACTGACTTCCTGGTTTGAGTAGTGTTTAAACAGTTGAGTGAATCCCAGCCACAGAGCACCAGAATGCAGGGGAGTGAGCAGGTGTGCAAGTAGAGAGTACACAGCTTTTATCAACCCAGGCAGACTTGTTTTGCCATGGAAAACACCAGTAACTACAAAAATACCCCAAACTGACAACAGTGGCAGACAACTGAGAAAGGGAGTTTTATTAGGTGAAAGAGGAAGATCTAGTGAACGGTTTCTAAATGCTTTTTGTTTCTTATGGACTAACGATGCAGGGCAAGAAGCTTGTTAAATGATTCAACCCACTCCAACACATTCAGTTAAGGGATGGATTAAATATACTTCCCCACATCCTACAAAATAGGGCAAGCTAGACAATTTCTAGAAAGAAAAAATGCATGTAAAAACATTTAAAAATTCAGGCCATCTTTGTATGCAAGAGAGGAACAAAATACAACAATTGTGATAAAGGTTTGCAAGTCACTTGTGTTTCTTTGTAAAGATTTAGGCACAGATAACTAATGCACCACACTGTTCTTATCTCTCCCCACCTGAAAACAGATGATATTGATAAAAAGCTCCCTCCTATCCAAAGCTGGTTGTCCTAAACTCCAGTATCTTTTATTGCTGATGACTCAAACCAGAAGGAGTGTATGTTCAAAGTAGATGCTGTTCATGTAGTCCAGATTCACAAGATGTTAACATTATCCTCATTACCTATGTTATATGGCCAGACAAATTGCTTCCAAATAAATTACAGGCTTGAATTTAAAATAGTTGATTACTGACAGTCTATTCACTTGTTATTAAGAACATCTTTTTAGGAGTTGGTAGGTCCAAGAACATTGTTCATGCAACTTACTAGAAAGTTGTGCCATAGTAACGGTAAGTGAACAACATCATCTATGAACTTAAATTACCATTACATTAATTAAAGTGGAATTAATGAAATCCATTTGGGTTTGTGTTCTGTTTTTATTTCTGAATTAAGCAGGGTTCAATTTGTATGCTGCTCTACAAATCAGATTAAATTCCTATTTTTTTAACAAAATAATTCTTAATTCTTTAAAAACACCATTAACAAGGTATATGACAATCCAATTTTCAAAACTCTGTCTTCAATATATCTTTTCCCATTAGTATATAAAAAAGGGCGGAAACTGTCATGCAAATATTCTGAACAGTGTGACAATATTCAGTAAAACCATTAAACACATGAACCCTTCATTAGTCATTTTGGCTTTCCTTTTAGTAGCATACAAGTCAGGGTCTAACCTCAGTTCCCCAGCAGTACATTAAATTTCTTGTTTGAAAACCTCCAAAAGCACCATGCCAGGGATATTCTATTTCCACTTCAAGTCACATATTAGTGCTATATGATCAGAAGGATGTGAAACACTTGGCAAAGCCTGATGGGTTGTTACTTCTTCATGACTTGGCAATGGAATAACTTGTTCAACCTCTAAAGCATTTCTGTCAATGAAAATGTAGTCCAGACATCCATGAAACCCACCAACATAGTTTGTATAAGCAGGTTCTCCACAAGCACTTAGCAGTTTGAAAGGATGGCTTAAAGACATACTGCACCTTTCTTCCTCCCCATTTGAGACCCAGTCTTCATGATCTTCAGCAATGCCACCACTGCTGATAAAACTGTAAGTTCCTGACGAGGGTGTGCTATTAAAATCTCCACAGAATATGACTGGGATACTGGGATACAAGTCACATGCTACATGCTTGATGTGAGACATGGCCACAGCAATTTGGATCAGACGGATGTTCCCACCTAAAGACATAAAAAGTATTATTTCAAATAATGCAGAACAGCACTGGAGATGCTTGCTGGCTTGCTCATTTAAGCATATATAGCTCTGAAACAGCAACCCTGTGTTTTAGAATAGTTTTCACTAATTAAGAAGCCTTTAAAATTTGTGACTATGAAAGTTTTTGAGTCACAAGGCAATTTCAAATTAAACCTGTACATGCAAGAACTCTGAAGCTTTAACACCCATATACAGCAGTTTTCCATTTCATGGCAACCATCTAACAATATTCCCAAAAAGGCACAGAACCAAAAGAAAACTAATCGAGAACAGAAGAATCTCTCCTAACAGCTTCTGGAGCTCAATCTGGTTGCCCTCCTGGCAGCACCCTGGGAGAGCACCATGTCCAACAGGCCTGGGAAACCATAAGCACACACAATATTTTATGGTCTGCTTTTTGGGTGAATTGTGTGTAATGCGACTTGCCTTGCTGTCAGCTGGATTCTATTGACTCCCTGGCACACTAGAAAAATAAATCTATAAACTGAGGAGTCTGGCTTGATTTCATCTAGATAAGAAGTAAGGCAGGAAATCCTCAGTTCCAGAAGAAAAGGCTATAGCTACAAAAGAATGATGGGAAATATATTCTCCCAAATAAGAGCAAAAATCTTTCCAAACCCAGTTATCCTACATGCAGGAATGTGCCAAAATTACCTTTGGGGTGCCAGTATAGGTGGGTATTTGCTACACAAAGCTTCCTGGAAGGATCAGTTGTAGACTGAAGAACTGAAACCTTTAAGAAAAAAAAGCAGTCTTTTGTTAAGTCTTAAATATAGGTTATATATATTTTAAAATGCACTAGTCAGCTTATGCCTTTGTGGCAACCCAGTTCAAAGAATCTGATGCTTATAAACTATAAACTCAACTTAGGAGCTGTACTTTTCATTAATCTTGTATGTAAGGCTTGGGTATCAGCCAAAATATTACCACTACATCATTTAACAAGTATTCTTTTGACTGTGTCTGGTTTGGCCATATTTTTTCATAAGATATAATTCAGACGGTAACATTCTGAAATATTTTTATTTCGTATTCACTCTCTGTAAAAGAACTGGAGCTAAACTTTGTTTTTAGTAAGCAAATGTAGAATTCCATAATTGTTAAATTGAACAAAAATTTGGAGGTGATTTCAGTTATCAAGGAAATCCTGTTAGTCCTACTCAGTCCACGAGCAGGAAACTTTTACCAGTGTTTCTGCAGTTCCTGACACAGCCTTCTATCTTACACACTTGTACTTGCACAACAGCTCCGTGAGCACACCCTCTAGCATCAGGAAGCTCACACACCTGTCCAACCTTATTTGTCTCCCTCTGTCACTTGCTAAAGAATTGCATTACAACTGCATTATACAGCATACTCAACTAACTTACTTAAAACTGATTTATAAGATCTAAGTTTTATAGACATACAGAATTAAGTAGTAAAAAATCACCAGCCAGGAATCACTACCTGGCCCAGAATCTCAACAACTGTCTTCATTTTAAAGCAAAGTAATTTTGCTTTTACCGAATTTTGGTAGTTCCATATATGCAGTTCAGTAAGATCTCAATGTTTTGTTCTTGTTCCTAAGTTGATCTTCTGCTCTATCCATTACCCCAGCTAACAGAGACTATAGTTCCATGTTTCAAACTTTTAATCCCTCACCTCCCTTCTGCTGCTTGAGGCTCAACAACGCTGGCCCGGCTGCACTTGGAGACAGTGGGAGGAGGAGAAAGGGGGAAAAAAGAGGGGAAAGAGAAGAAGGCATGTCAAAGCTGGTACCTGCAGCACAGATGACCTCTGCAGCACCTTCTCCTGCACCAGGGGGTACTTGGCCAGCTGCTCACACAGCTCCTTGTGCAGCGGCTCTGAGAGCAGGGCTTCGCTGAAAGCGATATCATGCTGGCTGAGGAGACTGAACTTGTCCCTGCGATAGAAAGTGGCCAGGCCTTCGTGCTGCTTCTCCTTAATCTTGAACAGCCCCTCCAGTCCAAAAGCATCTAGCGCCGGGGCCAAGCTGTCCACGAAGACAGATTTATCCACCTCTTGCAAGCAGATGAGGTCGGCGCTGTAGCCCGCCAGCTCCTTCTTGAGCAGGTTCTGCCGGTAGTCGATCTCCAGGGCGTAGGGAGCGCAGTACGGGTAGAGCACAGTGCGGGAGAACTCCGTCTGCGCGTAGGTATCGGCCAGGATGTTGTAGGAGACGGCGCGGACGGAGCCGTAGCCGCAAACCTTCTTGGTGTAGAGGTGCCGGGCGTCGAAGGTGCAGGCGCCGGGCCCGGCCTCCACGGGGCCGCTGCTCTCCACCTCGCGGGCCGGGCCGTAGCGCTGCTCCTTGTCCCCGGGCGTGCAGCGCAGCTTCAGCCGCAGCCCCACCAGCGCGTTCGACGGCGTG